CGATAATAGCAAGAGAAATCATGGGTCGGTCTTCATTTCTCGCGGTTCTTCTTGTTTCACTTCTTCTGATTCTTTCTTTCTCTAAGGGTAATATCATTATCAGCATTTTCTCTCGTACTGTAATTACCAACTACCTATATATATATATATATATATATATATATATATATATATTCTCTGAATCCTTCCTTTCCATGGTTGATTTTCTTACGAATATACAGTTTAAATCACAGGATTTGGTAGAAAAGTGAAGCAAACTTCTGGGCTTGAAGAAATGCAACTGCTTTATTGGAGGTTTTCTACTTTCCATTTTTGTTCTATGATTATAAAGACACACTGCACTTCCACAAACCAACCATTGATATTTGTTTCTGTTCCCCTTAGGAAAATACAGCAGAATCAAGGGTGATGATTGAGTTGGATTATGTTGATCCGGAGCCAAATACCAACACAAAATCTTGATACCTGTTCACTCCACCACCTCTACAAGGCTAATTGAGATTTTTCTACGTGTCATTTCATATTTACTCTTTCCGCTTTTTTCTTTGCTTTTTTTTTTTTGGGTGGGTGGATGGGGAATGGGATTTGTTCCCTATTTTTTGTTCATGTTAATGACAAACAGAGATGTAAATTATGACATTCGCTGTCCAAATGTGAGATGTGAACGTCATATTCATACGTTATTTTCAAACCCTTACTTGGTTCCTTCTTGGATGTCAGTTCATGGTATTATAACCAAGTTCTACATTACTACAACATTTTCAAACCAGTGTCTGGCAGTAGCAGGAACTTAGAAATATATTTGTGCATTTTTGAATGAAAATTCAAGATATCATAACCAATTTCTTCAGTGTTACATCCTCTGCAAACCCTTCTTTGGCGGTAGCAGGAAATTAGTAATACTTTTTTTTCCTTTTTGGAAGTAAAGTAGTGTTATTATGACCAATTTCTTGATGGTTATCTGTGTAAATTACTGATATATGCGTGAGGCTCGACCCAAGACAACAAATAGCATTACTGGAAAGGAAGAAATGAAGGAAACAACAACCTACTTTCTGTCAGTTCTAAGGTGAATTCTTGTGGTACCAACTACCTGCTTCCAATCCATGGCATAAGAAACAACATTAATTTGAGGAGATTAATGTGCAAGCACATGCTTGTACTGACATTCAAACGTAAATTTAGAATCGATGTGGATGTTGTCATCCATGTTGATTTAGAATGCAATGTTTTGGGATGCACATAGTTTCTTATTCTGCAATTGTTTATATATTGAAGCCATGACATGCTGGACATTTTTGTTTCTTTTTTTTTTTTTTTCGGGGGGGAGGGGGGGGGGGGGGGGGGGGGCTACCTTCATTTTATGATTCTCAACCCTAGAGTTAGGTTTATAGGCACACAAAAAAAAGGGACTGCTAACTAATCAACCCCAAAACGAAAAACAACAATAGGCGCACCATCACTCTGCTTGCTGGTGTATCAATCAAGGCACTTTGATAGTTGTTGTTTAACAAGGCCTATAGTTCCCTTAGAATTCTGGGGGTGGAGATGGGGCTGGATCTTTTTTTTATTCACCAGTTATGAGCTTCTTTTGTTTATGTGAAGTTTTTGAGCTCTTTTGCTTGTAAAGTCTTTTGATCAATGGAATTTTTACTTCCCGAAAAATGTTTCCATCCATGTTTTTTAATATGTGATTCAAGGTAAAATTTTGTCCAATATAATCAGGTTACGAGTTCAAATTTGGGTACTATTATTTAATATAAAGAAGGTTAACGGTTAGACATGTACTCAGTTCATCCTATAATGCCGTTGATGAAAATTAACTTGTGTGCACTTTTCAATTGTATTTCCACACCTACTATTAGATCTTACTATCACCCGTTCGGAAATTGGAACAGAAAAGCAAACCTGAACAAAAGTTGACATTTGATAAAAACCATGATCTCGTTTTATATTCATAAATTAAGCATATTAGAGAAGAAGAAATGTCAAACATTGTCGTCAATTGCGATAATGGACCTGTTTTTTATCACAGCTTGGTAATGTATCTCCCGTGTAAATTTTTATTTTCATTTATTGATTATGTGTTTGAAGTCTATTCTTATGCTTATTCCATTGAATATCTTATACATTTTAATCAAATAATTTTGCAGCTAAACCCAATTGAAAAACAATTGAAAGTTGACATGCCTGGATTGGATCGTGATGATGAAATTCACTGGAGGCACCAGTGGAACAAGCATGGAAAATGCAGTGGAATGAGTGTCTTTGAATATTTCGTGGAGATTTCTTACCCTCAAGCAACAAATTGACATAGACAAAAGCTTAGCTGACAAAGGTGTTTCATTTAATTTCTCAGTTTTTTCTATTTATCATTATATCACATGGTTACTACTATCTATTAATAGTTCAATGAACCAGTTACCATGCATACAATTTCAAAATAGATATATACGCACACATATGCCATGAACGTTGTTATATGTATATACAAGTTTTTATGATTGGTACTAAATTTTTTTTTTAACAGGCATCAAACCCTCTTTCTTGAACTTTTATTCTGCCCAGAATATCGCAAAAGCCATCGATAGAGGATCTTATTATGTTCCTCAACTTGAATGTAACCAAGACCCAAGCGGTGCGAGACAATTGTTCCAGGTCTTCTTCTGCTTAGACAAGGGAAAGAAGCTCACAAATTGTCCCAAAAAACATACTCGATACCAATCTCAATTTATAGCCTCAAAATGCACCATCCCCCTTCCCACTGGTAGTACCGACAGCGTTAAGCTACCTCCACCTCCTCCACAGTCACCTTCTCCAGCAGTGCAGTAAGTAATTTTGTCTCTCCACCTTCTTCTTTGTTCAAGTTTTCATTCTTTTTCTTTAATTTATATCCACGAACGTTTTTGCTATGGTTTTAACCTTTTGTGGTTTCTTCACAGTGATGAATTCTGATAAGGAGATTCAGAATTTCAATCTATTTCAAAGCAAGAATATACCTTCCAATAAAGTTGAATGATGTGTTAGGTGTTATGCTCTCTGTGGGTTTGGTTTGGGTGACTGTTTAGGATTATTTGTAAGTGTGACGATTGCTGTTTATATATATAAATATATATTTTCATATGTTTAAATGTGCCATTTTTCTTTTCGGCTACCGGCCGTTTCTCACACAATAATATAAAATTTTGGTAGTCGTAATGTTTTTCCAATACGAGGAGAGATCCAGTGTAATGTGGAGACTTGCAATACCAAAACACATAGTAGTGGTTTCCCTTTCTAATTTATCAAGGTTACAATTTACTGAACAAGCCATGACTTGAAGTCGAAGAGACAGAGGTCTTAACTTTTATTGCTCCTTTTTTACTATAATTTACTGCTATCCATGATTGAGGAGTCGCCTCCTTTTTTAGGATGCTTTGTGGTTGAGATGTTTGTTGGTCATTTCTAAGGACTACAACCTGTAGTTTATCTATTTTGGTGTTCGGGTAATTACTTGGAGTCCAAAAAGAAAATTAAGATTCGTGGGCTGCCAGTGGAAAAATATACAAATAAAAAGAAATTAAGGGCGAGAAGAGGAAGACATTTTTTATAATATTACCACCCACGTACACTTTATGGCCAAACTAAAGAGGCGAGAAGAGGAAGGCAGTATGGATACAAGTTCCAAAAAAATGGCTCTATTGGAATTGGATCAACATCAAGTCTCATTCAATTTATTATGAACTTTATTAAACATTAGAAGTTAATATTGATCTAATGGTTCTAAAAAGTCAAATCATTAAATAAAATTTTTAAGTTCAAATAATATTCTCGGTCAGAGGACATTTTAAATCAAATTGACCCAATAACCAAGTAAAGGAAAAAATGTTACATTAAATGGGCAGAGTTTTGATGACCAAGCAATCGTGGTACATCCTGATTTTTATTCTTGATTAAAACTAGACTCTCCACATAAGTGTAAAATTGTAATGGTCTTGGATGTCCATGACCCAGAAGCCTCTTTGTTTTACGGGTATGCAAATCATATAAGATTAATTTTCCTTTTCTAGTTTCCATCAATAACTCGCCACCTTTCCAAAATCCCAGTGGCATCTCGATTGCAAGTGGTCCAATTGTATATTGTTTGGTCCAAGATGACTCAACTCCATATTCTTTCATTACCCATATGTCAAAACTTTTACACCGAGCTTCAAGGTGATAAATAATGGTAGCAAGAGATCCATTCAACAGTGAGAGTGTTTGATTATGCCAAGGTGGTGTAGGAGTCGGCAGCTTTATTGTTCCAAATACTTCTCGATTTATATCGAATGATAGGATAGCTTCATAAGCAGACCAGTGATGGACTCCTTTCCTGTATGTATTGATCAAAGGATACATCTCATCAAAATAAGCTGGCATGGCAGCATCGATTTCCCTCCACGTATTAGTACTCAATGTATATATTTGAAATAGGTAGTGGTCTAAACGGTGGCGATTGAAGATGGACGAAATTTGTAAGACCTTGTAGTCCTTAGTTATGGGGTCGTAACCAAACGCAGCAGCTTTAAAATCAAATTCTTCATTAGGCAGCAAAGAAGCGGATGGGAGTATTGGAAGAGCCTTGAATTCTCTGGTAGCAGGGTTAAAGACAGCAAACAAGTGCCCATTATCACATAAACAGACTAAGCCATTGCATGAGCCCACAATGGATATACCCATCTTGTTATCCTCAAAATATGGGAATTCAAGATCGACTAACAAACTTAATGTCTGAGTACAAAGTACAGAGGCGACGTACTCTTTTGTGAAGTCGCGCCGACGATGCAAAACAAGGCAATTATCTTCCTCTGTAGCGGCCTTGCTAAGGTGAAAATCTATGAAAGTTTGGCTTTCGATCAAAACATGCCATGATTTGCAGACACACTTAAATCTCAATAAAGATTTCACTGTTAGCCTTGAAAGAATCTCTTTCTCCACATCTTCAGGGACAACGTAAAAGCTCTCCATTTTGTATTATGTTTCTTCTTCTTCTGCTCACTACAGTAATATTGAGCTTCCATGCATGCTGAAAGATATGGAGCGTTTGTTCAGTTAGACATTGTTGTCTTCTTCTCCGAGCAGGGTGACCTTTTAAGGAGAAAAAAAATACAGTCATAAGTTATTTTGGCCGAGGATCTTGCATAGCGTGCCCTACAGTTCTCTGACATTTAGTTAGCAAGATATTTAGCGTGAGCCTCATTCCTCGGATAATTAGTCAATAGGAATTATTGAATATAACTGTTTTTTAACCAGATCCACTCATTCAAGTATCCTTATTCATTTGAGTTCCCATTTGGGGTGCATAGTATTTTTTTATTTTTTTGTTTCAAGTGTAATGGTGACCGTATAATGTAATAGTTTATACATACTACTAAACTTGTAAAAGAGAAAATTTTAATAAGAAAAAAAAAAAGCAACTAAGTGCTGGTTAACGAATACTAAAATCAACAAAAAAAAATACTTTTAAAATAATAGGTAAATCTTCCAAGAATTTCATTAATAAACCGCTAAATTTCAAAGGTAAAATTATTTTTATTTTTAAATATAATTAAATTATTTGTCAAGATATTCGGAAGAAAAAATTAACAAGAATGACAGATGTTTTAATCAATAATCCATTGAATAATTGTGCAAGATAAATTTTTTTGGAGGGGGGGGGGATCTGAGGAAGTAATTATCGGGTTAATTTTTCCATGGCATGATACAATATCTTACATAACACGAATTAAACAATTATACGATCAATTAACATAAATAATAAATGAGGCATTCAATATCAAACATGAATAATATGATTTCGATACCGTATTGTAAGAAAAAAATACTTGATTTTGTTATTTATTTTCAAGGTTCTCATAAAAAATAAAATCAAAAGAGCAATATTATTGAAACATAATTTAGGAAGATATTTTGAGATCATAATCAATGTCGCCATTAGACTATCAGTGAATCCCAATATTAATTACTCCATTCTAAATCAAATGGTCACATTACATTATATTCCTAAATTATTTTAATATTAATTACTCCATACAATATGATATGTGTACGATATAAAAATAAAAATATCACATTCTTTAAATATTATATCACAATAATTTTATATAGAGACATATATACTTAGGTATATTATAAATTTAAAATTAATTAAATATGTAGCATTTCATACAAATATATTTTTACTAATATTTTTAAATATCATTTTATCCAATTTATTAATATAATTGTAAGTCTTAAAGTGTGTTTGGGATAGCTTTAAAAAAGTGTTTTTTTTGATATTTTGACTTATTATAAATACTTTTAAAAAAAATAGTGTTTTGGATCAATTTTTTAAAAACACTTTTTAATAAGTAAAAATAATTTTGGTGCTTAAATAAGCTATTAATGAGAAGTAAAAAAAAATAACTTTTACTTCTAATAAACGTTTTTAATTAAAACACTTGCCTCCCCCCTCCCCCCTCCCTCGCTATATCTCACGATCTCTGCCGCCTCAGATTCAGTCGATATCTCTCTCAATCCCTGCCTATTCTTTTACTGTGTTGATATGTAGCTATCATCGACTGCCGATTACCTCCGACCACACTTTCTTCTATCGTGTCGACGACACCAGAGAGTTCTATTAACGATGTTGGAGCTCCCCTCTCTCTCACCGATCGTTAATGAAACATGATGTTTGGTTTCAGATTTTCTTTTTGCTTCAATGATCAAATCATCAAAGCAGAGGCGGAACACATTCTATCAAAGCAAGGCAGTTGATTTGTGCTGTTTAGAGGTATTTGTAATTTTTTGGTGCGCTCTTGATTCCAGCCAATGAATTGGAGTTGTTATTGACAGTAGTAACAAATATGTGCATAAGCTCTTTGAATTTGATAGTGAACCACCTAATTTTGGAATCTGATATGCAAATAAACTATGATAGGTGATTATTCAATGCATGGTTTTTTCAAGAATTATCTATGAATCAATATGCATGTAAGGTGTTTGATAAAATGAGTTCCCAAACATTCACAGCAGAGTTAAAGGAAATAAGTCAAATAGATTGTACTGCTACTAATTATAATGTTTTCTCCTTTAGAAATTATCAGTCATTGATGTTATGGATCTTCTGTTATTCATCAATAGTGTGATCATGAAACTACATCAAATTAGCGGGAAACCACCTCTTCTGCTTGTGTGGATGGAAAAGAAGTTGGAGACAATTAAAATATATCAATTCCCCAATATAGTTCTAGAGGCTGCTAGAGAAACACTTTGGTGTATGCATATCCTATCCATGAAAAGTAATCCTGTCTTCGGGATTTTACAAAATTGGCTAGAGCATCCGAAGCCTTGTTTACTTTATGACGACTTATTGACATATAACGTATGCGGTTATACCCTTTCAAGTATTTGTCTTGTAAGAATGATCATACATGCTCTCTGTATTTTGTAGTCTCATAAGAATGATCACACGTATTGTGTGTATTTCTGCACTAAGGGCCAAGGGAGATATGGGTGCCATCATTCAAAGTCTCTTTTATGTTACTAATGTTTTACAAACTTCTGAAGTTGTGCTGTGTTTGCTCCAATGTATCCTAGTGGAACATGACCATTTTATCTGCAAGCACAAGAAAACACCATCCTCGATGTTGTACTTGGTGTTGATCCAATAAAACCACATCATTAGGTTAGGTCAATAAATTAGGTCAGATATTTAGGTCCAAGTTTGTTTGAGATTTGGGGTTTTGTTAAGGCAGCACCATCCTCGATGCGCAGATCAGTACTTGGCTGATTAAAGGTTTTTTGGGAAGGTTGGAGTTTCGCTTGGTACATATTTTTCGGGAAGCAAATGAAGTAGCTGATAGACTTGCTGGGCAGCCTGCTGTGGGTAGAAATTCTGTGGATTATTCGGTGGGTTTGCAGCTGCCTTGTGAGGTTTTTTTGGCTTTTCGTTCTGATCAGCTGGCACTTCCTGTTTTGCGCAAGAGGAAGAGAGTTGTTTTCGATGATAAGGGCTCAGGCAGACTGCGTGATCCTTATTGAGTTTTTGCCTTCAAAGTTTAAGTGTTGATTTGTTTGAAAATTGGAGAAGGGAAAAGCTACTGACTTGAAGGCTTTTGTTTTTTGGAGGATGCTGCTGAAGCCTTTTGGTCGGTGTTTTTTGGACTTTTGTGTTTTACTTGTTACGGAAAGTCGTTTGTGCTTTATCCTTTGCTTCTTGTAAATGGTTTGGCTTTTGGGTATAAATAAAATTTTTATTTTGTTAAAAAAAAAAAATTCCACATGAAGCAAACATACCCTTAATCATTTTGGGTTAAAGTCTTGTTAAGGCAGCGTCGGTCTGTCTTTTATTCCATTGTAAATAATTTTTGAGTAATAAAATAAATTATTAATTTGTTTGAAAAAAAAAAATATTTGCATCAAAGAGTATAAGCTTTCACATAGGTGACGAAGAAATCCATAGCAGTGAACTCCAAGTTTACACTTGGATTCATCATGTTTTTAAATCACTCTCATGGTTACCTTTTCATTTTGTGAGTTTATATAAATATTTGATAAATTATCATTAAAAATGTATCATGGGATAATCATTGACGTTTTTAACAAAATATATGCAAACACACACATATATTTGATTATAAAGGGTATATATGTAATTGTGATACAAATAAATACTTTTTTAATTGATCATCCAAACACAATTTTTGTAAAATTATTTTTATTTAAGTACTTTTTTAAATGAGCATCCAAACGATATTTATGGAAGAAAGTATTTTTTAATAAAATATTTTTTAAAAAGTAATTATTTAAGAAGTACTTTTGAATTCAATAAGTCATCTCAAACACATTCTTAATATATTATCAAGAAAACAAAAAATTTAAATAGAAACTAAAAATGTAACCTACTAAAAAAGATCACAAATATTGTACATATTCATGGTAACTATGGTGATACATTTCATACCCACTATTGAAAGGATATAGTCCTAAACATTAAAAAAAAAGTATATATGACATTGATTAAATAGAAACAAATTGACTTGACATATAATTTTATTTTAATTTATTGTGCTAGATTGATCTTATATAAAATCATATGTTATCTTTTGGATTTTGGTTGATTTTAGTTTTACACTAGGTTGTGCATTGCACGGGTCCTTCTAGTCTAATTGTATTTGGTTGTATAAGCTACAAATCTTGAATACTAATTTTTATATTTTTTAAATATATTTTAATTTACAGATGATAATCTCTCACTCTCTTTATCAATACTCATATTCTTCAGAAACTTACTTTGATTAAACTCCAGATACTGTTCAAACTTCCTATTACCTTTGCCTACCTTTCCTCATCAAAAGTGCTTTAAAATTTAAATTTTTATTCTCTTTAATTTAACACAATAATAAATAATTTTTTAATAATACTAGAGTGAAGTCGAGGTGGGGGTAGGATGAGGAGTTGCAATAAGGGGTGGGGGCGACAATGGCGACACCGATAGTAGGATTATGATATGAGAGATTGAAAATATATTGCGCATCACAAAGTCCGAACTAGTATAACTTAAAAATATTGGATTCAATTTAACTATTTTTTTAATATTTAACATTAATGTTATGGTGTAACCGTTGTAATGAATATTTATTTGGGTTTTCGATTCAAAAGCTGGTTATCTAAAAGAGTGCCCACTGTCTCTATCCGTCATATCATCAGTGGCTCTATCAATTTCTCCACAAACCTGTATGTTGTTGAATCTGAGAGCATGTATGTTGTTTGGTAGAAACTGCAAGAGTTGTTAGATATCCAATTCTGGTCTGCACTGTATCATACCATCTACTAAATCTGTGAACAACCCATTTCCGATAATAGCAAGAGAAATCTTTCTCTAAGGTAATAGTATTAATGTCGACATTTTCTCTCGTACTGTAATTGCCAACTACTATATATATATATATACTATTTTCTTTGAATCCTTCCTTTCCTTTCCTTTCCTTTCCATTGTTTATTTTCTTACAAATATACAGGTTGATTCACAAGTTTTGTTAGCCACAACTATAATATTTGTTTTTGTTCCCCTTAGGAAAATACTGGAGAATCAAGGGTGATGATTGAGTTGGATTATGTTGATCCACAGCCAAACACCAACACAAAATCTGGATACCTGTTCACTCCATCACCTCTACAAAGGCTAATTGAGATTTTTCTATGTGTCATTTCAAGATTGCTATATTTACTCTTTCCCCTATTTTTCTGTGTTTTTTTTGGGTGGGTGGATGGGGATTGGGGTTTGTTCCGTATTTTTCGTTCATGTTAATGACAAATAGAGATGTAAATTATGACATTTGTTGTCCAAATATGAGACGTGAACGTCAAATTCTTACATTATTTTCAAACCCTTAGGAACTTGGTAATATATTTTGTTATTAATGGTATTATGACCAAGCTCTACATCACTATGACATTTTCAAACCGGTGTTTAGTGGTAGCAGGAATTCAAAAATATATTTTTTCATTTTTGAATGAAAATTCAAGATATCATAACCAATTTCTTCTTTAGTACATCATTTGCAAACCCTTCTTTTGCGACAGTAGTAGGAAATTAGTAATATTTTTTGTTCCTTTTTGGATGTAAAGTAGTGTTGTTATGACAAATTTCTCGATGGTTATCTATATAAATTACTGATATATGTGTGAGACTCGTCCCAAGACAACAAATAGAAAGAAAAAGAGGTAACAATAACCTAGTTTCTGTCAGTTCTAAGGTAACTTCTTGTGATACTTATTATTTGCTTCCCATCCGCTGCATTAGAAACAACATTCATTTTAGGAGATTAATGTGCAAGCACACACTTGTGGTGACGTCCTAATGTAAATTTAGCTGTTACGGGAGTAAAACAAGGATTATATGGTGGATAAATTACTTGTCTATAATGAAGTACACCAAAAGTAAGTGATAGATAATTATTATTAGAATAATGCTATTTATACCTAAAAATTTGATACAATTTACTGACCTAATGACATGATTTCATTGTAACGATAGAAATAACACAAAGTTCTAATGTTTAATAAGCCTACAATCAATTCAATAGTTATAGTAAATTAAATCAATAAATTAGGTTCCAATAATATTGTTCTTATTATTAATATCTTTTTAGAAGAACTAATTCCTAGATTTGAAAATATGAACTAATTCCTAGAAATGAGTTCTACCGTAATAATTCTGATATACTTTCCAAAAATTTTCTCAAGTTGTACATGTCAAATCAATGTTGATATTGGAATCAGTAGGTCTCATTAGGAATAAGTTACTGTTATTCGTTAATTTAATCATCCCATGTTGATTTAGAATGCAAGGGTTTTGGAATGCACAAGGTTACTTCTCCGGGAATTGTTTACACATCGAAGCCAGAATTATGAGAATGGTAAAGATGACATGCTAGACGAATTAGGGGAGTTTTTGCATCCCTACCTTCATTTTATGGCTCTCAACCCTAAAGTTAGGTTTCATATAGGCACACAAAAAGGGACTGCCAACTCATCAACCCCAAAACAAAAGGCAACTATAGGTACTATCATTCTGCTGGTATATCAAGGCTCTTTGATAGTGGTTGTTCAACAATATTTCAATTACGTTTTTAGTATGTGATTTTGGAAAAAAAAGAAGGTTAAAGATTAGAGCTTTACTAAGTTCATCCTACAAAACTGTCGATGAAATTGGTATTGCTTTGCCCTCTAAGAAATGAACAAAAGTTTACATTTGATAAAAATCATAAATGTGTTTTATATTCACAAATTAAGCATATGAGAGAAGAAGAAATGTCACTGGGATATTTACTCTCCGTAGATTATTAGAGCCACTAATAAATAATCACAAAATTATATATCCATTTTCCTTGTTTGCTTTCTTGCTCAGTCTCAGACACTAGTTTAGTAAAGTATTATCATGTTCAGTTTACAATTAATTTTAAGTGCACCTTCCTTCTCACAAAGCTTTTTAAATTACTTTGACAAAATAAATTTTATGCTTATTATATCTAGTTAATCACAGAGAACAACTATCTTTAAGAATTTGCAAATCAAAATTACCCTGCACAATGATTTCTAGGAATGACAAGAAATCAAGGATCTGTTTGACACAATTCTTCTTATACCAGTTCTCATTCTGTATTTCTCTAATGGTAATGCCACAAGTATTGTCGTTCAAGACTGTAATAATTTATTTTTTCTATCAGGAAAAATAGAATCAAAGGTGCTGATTGAGTTGGATTATGTTGATCCGGGACCAATAGAATAGAGAAGGGAGTGTTGTTGGTTGGGGGAATGGGTTTGTTTCTTATTCTTGTTCATATTCATGAAAAATAAAGATTTGAATTTTATTGACACAGCCACTTGATTCCACACTTCCACTTCAATTCTTGGTCTCTTTTCACCCTAGGTCAGAGTCAGAAGAATGCATGCATTTTTTTTTTCCAGAAGAATGCATTCAGTAGTTGGGAGTTGGCAGGTGAAGGTGCATGTGCATGGTGCCAAATTCCTATATAAACAACATGAGAGATTGCAATCTCATTCTCTTGCGCCAATTCCATTTCTTTAGCATCATGGGAAGAAAATTATTTTTCTTACTTGTGCTAGAGTTCTTTCTTGTACCATCCACTGAGAATCCAATATTTGGATACAAGCTTGTGCTGGTTTGGCCCAATACTTTCTGCCAGAACACCCAATGCAACACTCCTATTCCACAACAGTTCACCATTCATGGTCTATGGGGCTACGACTCCAAGTCAAATAATGTTGTCAATTGCGATAATGGACCTGCTTTTGATCGCAGCTTGGTATCGTATCTCCCGTGTAAATTTTTATTTTCAATTTATTTATTATGTGTTTGAAGTCTATTCTTATGCTTTTTCCATTGAATATCTTATACATTTTAATCAAATAATTTTGCAGCTAAACCCAATTGAAAAACAATTGAAATTTGACATGCCTGGATTGGATCGTGATGATGAAATTCACTGGAGGCACCAGTGGAACAAGCATGGAAAATGCAGTGGAATGAGTGTCTTTGAATATTTCAAGGAGATTCAGAATTTCTGTCCACTTCAAAGCTAGAATATGTCTTCCAATAAAGTTCAATGACGTGTTAGGTTTGGTTTGGATGACTGTTTAGGATTATTTGTAATTAAATTTTCTTACCTAACAATGAAAGTTTACATATATAAATATATATATATATCGGTATACATTTCTAAATGTACCCTTTTTCTTTTCTGTTATCGGCCGCTTCTCACACAATAATTTTAAATTCCTGGTAGTTGTAATGTTTATCCAATACCAAAACTAAAAAAGAAAATATGTATCACTTAAATATGGCTTCGTTCTGCTATTCATGATTGAGGAGTCGGCTCCTTTTTTAGTAGGCGTTTTGGTTGAGATGTTTGTTGTTTATTTCTGAGGAATAGATCATATGTAGTTTATCTACTTTGGAGTTCCGGTTTCTTTGGTAATATCTTGGAGTATCACTTGTATTTTTAGAAACCACGCACATATAAACCCATTGTTTCTTTGCATGCGGTAATTTGAGATTTGTATAAAAATAGGTGGAGCCGGGATTGTTCTACAGTGGGGATCACCTAAAACTCGTTGTTGGTCTAGTTTAACTCCAATTCAGTACTTTATCCTTTAATTTTTATGAAAAGGCTAGAAGGAATATAAATAACCAAAATAAATCAAGCAAATATAACAAACCCATTGAGAAAAAATTCAATCTATCCCAGGCAAATTATTCAAGTCCAACCAATAGTGATTTCAATCCTACAGGTAACCAAAACTAGAATTTCAAGTTACCAATCAAACCAAATACTTATATTTCAATCAATTAACTATGACGCCTTGTGATTAAACCAAATTTGCAGTATCAAGGGGAAAATTAAGATTCATATGCTACCATTCAAACAGTGGAAAAGTATATATTCTATATTATGTTGGAAAAATAGGTTTTCCCACAAGTGTAAATCAATGGAAGCAATATAAATAAAATAACAGAAAATAAATAAGCACACAAAATTTACGTAGTTCCCTCAAATAACTTGAGGTACATCCACGACGACCGGTAGGTCAGTTTCTTCCACTATCACCAAATCAGATTACAAAGTGGCCAAAAGGCATAAGCCTTACAAACACACCAAGGTGTAAATCACAAGAGGAAAATACCTCACAAAATAAGTGAACCAAATCTCCAAGAACAAACCGCAAGAAACCCAAATATCAAGTGAAGAAATGTTACCCACTTGAAGAACAAATTTGCAGATTTTTCTGGCACCAAAAAGGAGAAGAAGAAGAAGGCTGAATTTTTGTTGAACCAAAGACTGCCGAAAATATGTCTTCTTGCCAAACCAACAGAGAAGAGATGAACCAAAGAAAAGAACAAAACTTATAGTCTTTGGTGACTGCCAAAATTCCTTTTAACTTGAAGACTCCAAACCAATTCTTGGATAAGAGTCATACACGGGTAAGCCACCAAAAAATTAGCAAATTGATGAGTCCCACAAAGGAGGAAACCAACATATTATGGGATACAAATTGGCAAAAGTTTCAGCTATATAAATCAGGTTGACCCCATGACCAAGACAAAGGAAAAGATGTTACAGTTAATGGGCAGAGGTTGGCTCACCAAGTGATCATGCTGCTGCATTCTAATTTTTATTCTTGATCGAAATGAAACTTTCCACGTAAGTGTAAAATTGTAATGGTTTCGGATGTCCATGAGTCAAAAGCCTCTTTGTTTTACGGGTATGCAGATCATAAAGCATCAATTTTCCCTTTCTAGTTCCCATGAATAACTTTTCTCCTTTCCAAAACCCCAATGGCACCTCTATTGGAAGTGGTCCAATTGTATATTGTTTGGTCCAAGACGACTCAACTCCATATTCTTTCATTACCCATATGTGGAAACATTTACACTGAGATTCATAGTGATAAATAATGGTAGCAAGAGATCCATTCAACAATGAGAGAGTTTGATCGCGCCAGTGTGGTGTAGGAGTCGGCAGCTCTATTGTTCCGAATACTTCCCGACTTATATCAAATGAAAGGATGACTCCAAAAGCAGGCCAGTGATGGACTCCTTCCCTGTATGTATTGATCCCAGGATACATCGCATCAAAATAAGCTGGCACAACAACGTCGATTTTCCTCCATGCATTAGTACTCAATGTGTATATTTGAATTAGGTAGTGGTCTAAACGGTGGTTATCAAATATGGACGCAATCCGTAAGACCTTGTAATCCTTAGTAATGGTGTCATAACTAAACGCGGCGGCTTCACACTCAAATTCTTCATTAGGCAGCAAAGAGGGGGATGGGGGTATTGGAAGAGCCTCGAATTCTCTAGTAGCAGGGTTAAGCACAGCAAACAATTGTCCATTACCACATAAACAGACTAAGCCATTGCATGAGCCCACAATGTATACATACATCTCGTCATCCTCAAAATATGGGAATTCAAGATCTACCGACAAACCTAATGTCTCAGTACAAAGTACAGAGGCGATGAATTTTTTTGTCTTGTTGCGACGACGACGTAAAACTAGACAATTATCTTCATCTGTAATGGCCCTACTGAGGTGAAAACATGACTGAAATATTTTTAAAAAATACCCAAAATGCCATGAATCTGAAATGAAGCAACGCATCAAGAGACGATTAGACTGACACCCTTAGATGCACATGAATAAAATATTAATTATTCACCCCATTCGGCATTATTTTATTTTTTTAATTTTTTTTTGGTACATTGTCTACCATACATTCAAATGAGACTCATTATATACAAATGAGCCCCTCACTAATTAATAGTGGATCTGTTACGTGCACACTTTGAGGTGTTTAGAAAATAAATGATAAATAAAATTGAGGAAAAAAACCTACTTCAAAGTGATGGAAACCTTCCATGGATCAATTTGAGAAGAACAAATATCCAAAATTTCTCAAGCAAATTTATCAAAATATTCAACATATCTATTTTATTGATATGAATATCTTTAAATACAAGATAATAACTAACGTAACCCATAACTCTACTATTTTAACAACCACCTAAAAAAACTACTCACAAAATATTTCATTACTAAACCACTTACTAAAATAACTTCTTAATAATTACTTATAATATTACATAAAAATATATTAAAGATATGTACATAAAATTTGTTACGTGTATACTTTTAGGGAAAATATAAATAAAACTAAAAATAGAATAGGAGAAAAAAGACCTGTTTCAAGGGGGGAGAATCTCCGATAATTCAATTTGAGAAGAATTTATCTCCAAAACTTTATAAGAAAATTCATTACAATATTCAACGTGCTCTTTTCGCAAGCAATAGAGCAAGCTTTACAGAAAGATGTTGTTTTTCGCCAAGCCACATAAGGCAAAGTTCAGCCATACAGAAGGTGCTCGTTTGGTATAAAGTTGCCAACGAATAGATGCACTAACTACCAAAACAGCAAGAACTATTTGTTCGTACGCGTTTTATGACGAACAATCAGTCCGTGCGTGATTTCCGACAATGGTTCCACAAGCGGTACTTCTTGATACTGTATTTGAAACAGTTATTCACATTTTTTTATGATATGCAACTGAAACAAATTCTTACTAATGGTAAAACAGGGGTTTTGAATGTAGGGGTTGTTTTTATTTTACCGTTGGGGTTTGAGTTAGCTCCTCCCGATCATAAAAGAAAAGATAGGCAATCTATCTTTTCAGAGCTATCGCCCCAATTAAAATAAAAAAATATTCTTGTGATAAGTCTTGTTCCTAGTCAGAAATATAGTAAAATTCTTTTTTTTTTTTTCCTCCCCTAATCCTGCTACTAAGAAAGATGCTTATTTCTTAAAATATCCTATATACGTAGGCGGAAACGGGGGAAAAGGAACAGATTTTTCCTGATGGGAGCAAGAGTAATAATACCAAGATGATAAAAATTAACTTAATAATTAAGCTAACCCACAACTTAAAAATTAACTTAATAATTAACTTAAAAATTAACTCAAAATGCTCTCATTAGTAGCCCAATAGGTCTGACCCGACATTTAGGCACGGTTTCATCTGTGATCTTTAAAAATTCTGTGTAATTTGGCATACCAACTTCTAAAAGACGCTTAATTAAATACGTGTGATCCAGTTATTGTAGACCTGACTGCAAATTTTAAAGTCGTTTGGGCTCAAATGACCAGCCACCGACCCACCAACACCAAGACTCAATCCTATTCAACTTTCAAAAATTGTAGGAGGAAAATTTTATGTTTGAACTTTGTCATCAACCATGTTCAAAAAAAAAAAAAAACTTTGTCATCAAAAAACTGATAGAAAGTCCAGGAACATTGGACTCTATTACTGTATACGAAGTTAGCCCTTTTTTTTAAGCGATGTTTGTATTTAAGATTTTTGATAGGGCGGAGCCAGAAAGTCATGTAAGGGTGGACACAAATATTTCAACAAACTAATTTTTTTTTTATTTTTTACAATCAATAGAAATAGGACAATAATTTTTTTTTATAATTTATATTTAATTACATCCTATTTAATACTTAAAAATTCATTAAACCCAAAAGTTCTTGAAAGTATATACAAACGACACCATTTTTTTTTTGTAGAATATAGACTAATTAAAATCATTTAGAATTGACTCCGGTGAATATTGATACTTTGAATCCATTGCATAACAACTTTATTATTCTTTATATACACCATTATTTTATCACTTTAGTATTTATAATTCATTCGATCAATTATGCAGTTCAATGTGCACTCTCTAAAATGTATCAAAAAATTCATATTTATTTTATATAAGTGTACACTAATGGATGTGTCAAAAAAATAGAGTTAACATAATTAAAAATATTGAAGAAATACTTAAAATACATATAGGTAATATTAAAAAAAAAATGTGAGGGTAGACATGTGCCCCCCTGGGGCATATGCTGGCTCTGGCCATGCTCTCTACTAAACCCATCAATTGTGCAAAGAATGACAAAAAAACCCATAGAACTGAGAAAAGAGCTTTACTCTGTTTCTTCTAGTTGGGCAACTGAGAGTGAGTGATATAAAGAGAAAAAAAAATAATTAATAAGATAGGTGTTACTCATGTCGGTCAAGTGAGCCAAAAACTTTATTTTTTAATGGTGAGCTAAAAGTTTTATTTTTTTAATAGGTTTGAATAGATTGTAATAAGTCAATAATTTGATTTTTTTAACAAGTTTTGATAGATAGTGGTGGGCTCAAATTTTTTTATTTTAAATAGATTTAATTATTTTTAGTAAATAATGTGGGCCTAACATTTTTATCTTGAATTTTGGGTGGGCACCAATAATATATTATAAAAATATATAATATATATACCTAATTAATAAAAAAAAAAAAAAATTAGGGGGGCACTTGCCCATGCCTCCCTCCGCCCTTGTTTTTGACCCTAAATTATACTGTGATTCTATTGGTTAACATTATGTCTTTTATATTGTTTGTGATATTGCGTTAGGCTAAACAACAAAGACACAATATCATTTGGCCTGTGCAAATCCGCTTTTACACTTGGTGCTGGTGGTGCATAAGACTTGATAAGATATTAGTACTGCAGAACAAGGCATTGAAACTTCTTTTTCTCTCCTCACCTATGCCTTTGTGGTCTAGCTGTCGCTAGGCTAATCTCTTGATCGGTTTAGTTGATAGAGAAAGACATTCGAAGTATGAAAATTCTATTTACAACTTATAATCAAGTTTGTGTCCAGATATTTGATACACTCAAATAAATAGATATCAGGTTAGGATTAATATGATGTAATTATAACCCGACATGACTTGATTACTATCCTAATGTGCTGCAGTCTAATCAATTATATTTCGCTTTATTTTTTATATTAATTAAAGATGTGTTGTCACTATCCCCAACCAAAGAATTAATATCAAGCATTATACGAAAATAATTGGTGTAATAAGATTTCAAAAAATGTTATTTATATCTAATTTGAAGATTTAATCTAAGGATCTACTTCAATCCAACTATTGAATCGATAGTTAATTCTATCTAACATTAGAATTTACAATTATTCTAATGATTACATTAAAATTACATCATTAAGTCTTCAAACGAGGTCTCTATAGCATTATCTCCTAGTTCTTGTTTTTGGCATTTTCTGAGAATAACTTGATCACTTACCGCTCAATTACGCGGTATATTTCCAAGTTCTTGGTGAAGAAAGTACAGAGTGTTTTAAGGTTTTGAGGTCAGAATATCCCAAAAATAAGCCACAGCGTGGAAAGTGCATGGTATGAGTGAGAAATGGGCTGGCTACGATGCCTACTTCCAAGAAACTTCAAGGTAACTTATTATTGTCTCATAGTCAACTGGCCCAACAATTTGCATATATTCCAAGAAAGAACCCACAAAAACCAAACTGAAATAAGAAAAGCAGGCCAGCCTGCCCCCACACCCTCTTTCACCTGGCGTGTTCGTTAGTTTACAATTCTGCATCTTCTTGCTTCCTTATTCCATAGACTAGTCTCCGCCACTTTCCCCACCTTCTTTGAAAGCTGAACTTTTCCATTGTCTATCCTAAAACCGCCTTCTCTTTTTCCATATAAACACCTCCATTTCCTCATTAACATTCCATGCAAATCAAATCTCTTTCTACTTTGTCCATTTTGTTTAGAGAACTGACAAACTTTTCTGTTTCACAGCAAGGAATTGAACGTCATAAGCCATGACTCTCAGCCAATTGAATCAATTCCCAACAGACAAGATACCGCAAGACACCATCCCATTTTCTTTCCTGATGCTTGAATTAGTTGATTTTTTATTTCTGCCATTGATTTTCAATTGGGTCAGAAGAATTTTTGAACTTCTCTCAAGTCATCAGCCTTCTCTCCAATCTCAACTTGCCTTATTTGACGATTCGGAAGTTCAGACTCCGAAGAAAAGCCAAGATTTTGAATCTTCAAACTTGCCTCGCTGCTTCAGTGGAAATATAGAATGTTTTTGCAGGGAAGAGGTGGAGATGGTGATGGGAAAGTTGGGGATTTGTTGTCACCTTGAGGGTGAGAAGATTCAGGAAAAGTTGGGTCCCGATGATCTTTCGAACCTGTTCGAAGAGAAGGAGCCGAGCTTGGAAGAGGTGAAGGAAGCTTTCGATGTGTTTGATGAGAACGGAGATGGGTTTATTGATGAGAGAGAGTTGCAGAGAATTCTGTGTGCTTTGGGGTTGAAGGAAGGATTGGCGGTGGAGAACTGTAGGATGATGATCAGGGTGTTCGACGAAAATGGTGATGATAAGATAGATTTCAATGAGTTCGTAAAAATTATGGAGAACAGCTTTTGCTGAATTCTTCTTGTTGAAAGAATGAAAATTCATAATTGAATACAAATTGTACACATGGCTTATTATTATTTGTATTATTTTTGGAGAAAATCCTATTTTGCTTAGTGAAAGATACAAAAAAAATCTCAGATTATATTTAAATAATTAATTTTTTTTATATAATGTGGTATATCGTCTTATTTTCATTTGATCTTTAGTCTGTTTTGTGTCAAATCAATCAATTAAAAATCACAAAATAGACAGATAACCAAACAAAAATAAGATAACATATTACATTCCAACATCTTTATTTTTTTGAGAGAACAATGTGAAAAAATTTAATCATACAGAGGATAATATAAGAATTTTTATATGTTTTAGGGGAAAAATGAAATTTACCTTATTTTTGTTTGGAAATTGGTAGCATACTTATTTCATTTTCTGCTACACATCATGACTATTGGATTTTATAATTATGATTAGTTCAATTAATAAGAGTTTAGACGTTGTAGACAATTTGAAAATATTTTCAATTAGGGAAACTCAACTGTACTTAATTTTTTTTTTAATACCATCCATTACTGTTTTATATAGTAAAATTATGAATTTAAAAAGAGAAAATATAACTCCTCAAGAGATATCATGATTGATTACAAATACTTAAAATTAATCACAAAAACAATAACTTGTAAACTTATAATGTACATCTCAAACACAAAAAATTGTAGCGGTTTCCCTTTGAATTAAAATAAGATAACTTGCCCTACAATTAATTGGAATAATCAAGTTGGATTTAATTTAATAATATATTACATGATCCGAACGCAGACAATCCATCTTGATTCAGATCCTACTCTCTTCCTCCTCACTATTGGTTCCTCAGTTGTCGTCGGAGTTACGATATTGAAAACCAGAAAAACTAGTATCGTAGCCTCAAATCGGATTTATTTTCAAGCTTTATTTCTGGTAAGCTCTCTCTGCCGTTTCGTTCTTGTTATGCTGTGAAATTCTCGCTGCTCGTGGCAGCTCGCTCTCTCTCTCTGACTTGATCTCTCAAGCATACACACAGCCATCCGAATCCTAAGCGGAGCATCGGATTCGGAGCACTACCGCCGCTGTTCTCTGCCGTGAGTTAGTCTTCTGGTCACTCTGGCGTTGTGTAACAGCGGCTCTGTTTTAGGTGAAGTTTTGTTTTATTTTTTCTCTTGTGAAGCCCCAATTTTTGGTTAGGAAGACAACGCATAGACTATTGAAACCTAAAATTCTTTATTGGTGGGAGAAAGGGAAATTATAGAGTAGGAATTGGGTCAGTTGAACTTCTGCAAATGTAATTGCGGAGAGAGATGGACCGCTGGAGAGCCCAACCTTTCCGGACAAATGTGATCTTCTAGGTAGATAGAACAATAGAGAAATGCTTAAAACTGGTGATGAGGTTGGACAGGGCAAGAGTAAAAAGTTATGTGACTATCTGTGTTGACTCTTGTTATTGAGGGAAGAATGAAAGGATTAATGCAAATTAGTTCGAGATGATAATCACATTGTGACCTGTGGTTAGCAACAATTTCTCTTTTAAAACAAGTTTTCTGCAATAGCAATTCGAGTAGTAGTTACACTATGGAAAATGTGTTCAGATAGTGTTGTGTTGGTCATGTACAGAGGAAATAATTTTCTTAGGTTACAAAACTTGTTTGATGAAGAACTGGGTTTTAACTTCAAGATTTGTGACCTGCTTGGAAAGGGGAGCGGAACCTTAAATTTCTAATATTGTGACCTAATTTGTACACAGAATTCAAAATAATTTTAAATCTCTATATATCCTAAGTACTGTTGATTCTCTATTTCATCTTTTTTATAACTATGTGCTACTTAAGATCTATTTTGCATACAGATATTGCCTCCCTAATCTTTTATGCATTTTTCTAGTATGCTTGATAGTAATGAGATGTATGGGGAGTAAAGAAAGCCACAAAATATTGCGTACATTTTGATTGTTCAACTTGAGTCACATTTGGCGTATTCTCTTGCGTAGCTTGCAATCAAATGATCGCATGTGAAGCACCTCTAAGAGGCTAGTATATCTATGACCCTTTTTTGATGCCATATAAGTTACTTGGCAGTCAAGCATCGTAATTTTCCTTTGAACTAGAACTAAATTGCAAAAGTAGAATTTTGTTGTCTTACTAAAATATAGTCGGACTTGTTTGTCTATGGATATAGAAAAATAGATTATCTGTTCTATTTTATACATTTTTATGTTCCTGTACTTTCCACTGGACTTCACATGTGTATTGGTCAGCCATTTCCAATATTGTTTGTTTTCATCGTAGAAGAAGGGTATGTTTGTCAAACATGAGGAATCTAGAAAAATTATGATGAGATAGTAATTCTAGATCTATTTTAGTCGTGGAGGAGTAGAGGCCTCATCAATTCAAGGACCATGACCATTCCACATGATAGAAAGGTGGGGCTTCCATTGATGAATTTTGCTAGGTTTAAGGGAATACCAATATTACAACAACTACGTTTGGAGGAACAGCTGCTACGGGCCTCTTAAGATAATTGGTGCATTATAAATGACGGAACAAATGCCGCAACCATTGTCATGGGGCTGTCTGGGTAAATGAGTTATGCTTATTTCAAGTATGATTTTAAGGTTTTGATTGCAAACTTTCTTCTCTGGTGTTGTCGAGGGCTCTTTCATTTTGTGGTGGCTGTTGTGATGCTGTAGCTTGTGTTACTTTAACTGCTTTGACCAAGGACAAGTAATAAATATAATGCTTAATTTGGTGCCAATCTGTGTCAATTGATGCATAATTAATTCAATATGGGATTGAAAAGTTTGGGAATTAGGACTCTAATTATGTGCTATAATCTTCTGTTGTAAACGGAACTTCAATGTTTTATAGTCAATTTCAACTAAAAATAGTTTTTTGCAGGGATAGTTTATCTAAATATCATTTATTGGGTTATAATGACTTCCAACTTGAACCAGTTATCATAAAAACTGAAAAACATTGGCTGGCTGAAGGAGATGATATTCTGCTTACTTAACTTTTAGAATTTACATCAGTGGCTGGGACATGAATCATTTCCCCCAAATTTTATATTTTTCTCTATGTTGTTGCATGTGTTTGAACTTTCACATATGTAGCAAACCTTCAACTCTTCTTGAAGTTAGGTCTGTGTTACAGGATCAGGTTCCTGTCATTAAAAGGTTTACTGGGGGAGGCACTGTTATTGTTGATCAGGGAACGGTATTTGCCAGTCTGATATACAACAGGGATGCTGTTCCTGGTGTACATCCATATTCTCGCTCAATAATGTGTTGGAGTGGTTCGATTTACTATGAAGTGTAACAAGGAATTGGTGATTTCCAACTCCTTGAGAATGGTAATATGGCTAACTATTCGTAAATACTTTTTTTCGCTAAATTAGTCTGATTCAGAAAGATTGATCATATCAATCAATTATTGTGCCAAACATGCAATAATGCAAACGCAAGCATGTACACCGACAAGCATGTACACCATGGATTGGTTCCAAAATGTTGAGGAAAATCTGCATTTTTAAAATTCTGGAACCCTATAATGAATCTAACTGTTTTAGTTATTTGTATTAGATGTAAATATTGCTTGTGGTGTGGTCCGAGCATTTAAACCTAACAAGCCTTGTGGCCAGTGTCTTTATGCATCGTTATCACTGTAGCTAGTGTCTTTTAGTTAGACTATTGCGTGTGACTGTCTCTGGTCTGAAACACATGCGCACATTTCTTCAAAGAGGGCGTTTACATCTAAAATTTATAATTAAGTAATGGGTCATTGTTTCCATTTGGTTTCAGATTATGTGTTTGGTAATCTCAAATTTGGTGGGGATGCTCAGTCTCTAATAAAAAATTGATGGATACACCACATGTCTTTTCTGTGGGATTACGAAGCCAGGAATATGGCCTACCTGAAGCTACCGCCACATGCTCCTGACTACCGAGCGGTATATATGGATTTCTCTGTTTGAGTATTATTATTCATTTGGATTTCTAGAAGCAACTATTTTATTACAGGCGTCTTTTGAAAGATTTTTGTCATGATCATTATTGTCTATGTCATCTGTTGATGTTGTCATGGTCACTATTGTCTATTGTCCTTGTCATGTAGTTCTGTTTTTCACTCAGATATTGCATAACAATTCAAAATGTCATGCTTCTGCTTTCTTCTGAAGCTCCTGTGATTTGTGTCATTTCCAGAACATTAAAAATAGAATGACTTGAAATGAGGGGAACTGCAAGCTGTGGAATTTTGTACTCCTGTTGTGTTGTGGCTGCTTCCAATTGCCCTTTTTAGGCATTAGTACTCAATGATCTGAATTACTTCAAAGTAATATTAGTTGTTTGTTTTGATTGGTATGATTCCTAAGTGTTTACCAGTTCAACCAAGGGCCTGGAGCACTTCCAAATTGCTGGAAAGCATTTTTTGCTGCACAACCACAAGATAACTAGAACTCTATAAAGAGAGGTGCATAGATTGGGGGCAGAGGAACTTTATTGTCTGCGTGATTCATGAGTTTCAGTGAGGCCAAAAGACTTGGATCAATTTTGAAGCCTGTTGGAATTCTCCAATTCGGCTTAAGTGTACACAAGTAAGCTCGCATTCAAAGACCTGCAGTTCACTTTACAACTGAAAGCATAATAATTACTGGATGAACTCTAATGTAAAAACAGGAGAAAACAACAATAGACCCTGAAAGATAATAAATTTTGTAGGCAAGTTCTGAATTTGAGAATTGCTAAATAATATATGTCAAAGCCAACAAAGCAAACACTGCAAATGGAAGGCCTGTAAACTATGCCAAAGCCAACAAGGCAAAAGGAAGGCCAGTAATCTATGTTTAGATCCTCAATTCGTTTGATTTTGTCATAAAAGTTAGAAGCTGGTGGAAAGGAATTGCAGCAATGATTCTAGAAGCATCTACATGGTGTTGATAAACACCGAGAAGTGAACCTTAAACCCTCTACCCTAAATTAGCAAGTTCATGTGTTCTCTGTCAATAGAATTGATGTTTGGGAACCTTTGGCGCAATACTTGAAATTGGAATTTCTTAAACTTGAAGAAGATAGACAGATATTCTTATTGGAAGATTTATGAATTGCAGACAAAGATGAGGATAAGGATACAAAACCTCAAAGAGAACTTAAAAAAACTCTTTTTAAATCTTGTTGACATGCACTTTGGTAGGGCTAATTTGATATCCATATAATCTGCATTGTTTAGTCTTCTACATGTTCTTTTTTAAAACTGTTCTACATGTTATTTCAGAACACTGATTCCTTGATGTTGTTTATATTGTTCAAGATTGAATTCTTTTTATCAACTCACTGCACATTATTGTTACTGTTGGCAACATGAACTGCTAGTAATATCTGAGCAATAGGCCATTGTTATTATTTATTTAAGAAGTTGTCTTTTGGACCCAATGCTTGTACCCGAAAGACCATGGCTGATCAAAATCTGATACTTTCCGTTAGTTTCATCTTCTGTTTCTTCTGTGTAGGCAAGAGCCACATGGAACTCATATGTCGAATGAAGGACTACATTTCAAGGTCAGCTTTTATTGACAAACACAATCAAGACCATTGATAACCATTTCTCTCTTGTACCCGTAGAGTTGGACATAGATGTTGTAACTAGGGCTGTTAATCAAACTGAGCTATTCGTGTTTGGTTTGAGTTTGCCTCGGGCTCGGCTTGTTTAGGTTTAGTTCGTTTTCTAAACGAGCCCAAACTTGAACCAGTTTTTAGATTCATTTTGAAAACAAGTACTACAAGTTCGACTCAAATTTGACAGACTCTCGTCCTAAACGAGTCGAACTTGAACAATTTTTTAAGTTCGATTAAGAAATAAGTTTTTCAAGGTTAGCTCGGGCTCGTTCGACTAACAAACCTAGTTGTAACTTGTGATACAAAATTTGTTCATAGTACCAGACTTCTCACAAAGCGGGAACCCTAGGAACTTTTCCCTAGCATTGCTCCACTTGAGAATTCTGGGTCGTTGACATTGTGATTAGGGTTGTCAAAATTCGACACGACATGATTAATCGATACGAATTAAACGGGTTTGGGTGAGATCTTAACGGGTTTAGGTGATAAATAGGTTGTGTTCAAGTGAAACTTATCAAACTGTTTATCACACGTTTACCCGTTTAAATAAAATTAATATAATAATAAATTAAAAATTATTTTAAAAAATTAGCAAGAAAAAAAAGGGTAAAGAAATCAATAAAGTAGAAGTTTAAATACAAAAGAGAGGAGATGATGGAGAGGATTGAGTTGCCTATAAAAAGCAATTGCCTCTTGCTTTTTTTTTTAAGCCTTCAAGTCTTATTTTTATGAGATTTGGTTAAAAATTTCTCTTTTTCGAGGTAAATTCAATTAACAATAAAAAAAAGTGGAGTATTAAAATTTGTTAATATAATTTTTTTTAAATTAAACAGTTTAAACAAGTTATGTCGTGTTACCCATTTATTAAATGGGTCGTGTTCGTATTGAGATTTTTTTACTTGTTTATTAAACGTGTCATGTACGAATTTATATATTTTTTATCCATCACTCATTTAATCCCGACACGTTTGACACTTTTGCACATGAAAATCATTTGGGATTGGGCAGCTTACCAGGCTTCTAACAGTCGCCAAAGTCAACAGCTTTGATCATGCTTGTTTTTTCATTTTTGGGCAGATGAAATGGGCTTCCTGCACAATCTGGTTAGTTTTCCGTAACCCTTTGATTAACATTTTGAATAACATTTTAAGCTAGAGATAATGATGTTTATAACATCTAGTTCATATCGATTAGTCAAATAAAGTGAAAAAGGGAAAAAAAAAAAAAACAAAAGGAATAGCTTCAGTGCCTATTTTCTTTTCTTATTTAGAAGGCCTCCTTGTTAAGTTGATTAGTCGGTAATTTGTGAGTCGAGATTATATTTGCTTTTATTATGATCGATGTCTAAAAATTTGATCATAAAAATTGGGGTCCATTTTAAGTTTTTTATATTCATCCTAAATTGATTTTATTGCATCTTTATTTGGTTTGTGTGAATTTTAATTCGATTTCATTAAGTTGTAGCTTTCTATTTCTATTTCTATTTCTACCGTAAGATCAATTGTATAAGAATGCTCCATTCTCTCAGTTTGAACAAACCCAACTAAAGTTAGTTTTGGGCAAAAGCATCAGAAAATCTGAACAAACTGTCACGCGAGTGGTATAGATGCTGAAATAATTCTGGTGAGAGGGAGGGAAGGGCCCATGGGACAGAACGGAAATGACATCATGAATTCATTGTGGGGGCAAAGTTTCTATTCACAAGTAAATTTCTGCCTGAATTCTGCAGGCCCATGAGAAAGGGATGTTTGAATCCTCCACCTTGTTTTGTTTTCTTGTATACTTGTTAGTCTCAGTCTCTCTATCTCTCTCATCAACTTATTTTGTCATGTCCTTTATCAGCAGATATTAAGGCATGCTTGTTTTAAGAAACTGTAGTATTTAATAGTGCTTAATTGGCTAAATTCTGGTGGGCATAGAATGAAGGGTCTTATTCTAAAATCTCCTTAAAGCTAAAACCCTTCAAAACCTGAAAATACTTGCACCTTTGCTCTTTGGCAAGTGGAATGCATTGAAGCACCTTAGCCATTTAAAGAAGAGTAATAATATTGTGACTTAATAATTTTATATAATTTGTTAATTTAATGATGGTCTCAATAATAATAAAAAAAAAAAAGTTCAACAGTTAAGTTATAAAATATTATTGAACCATGTCATTCCAACATAATTAAGTAGGAGTTTTAGGTTTAACTAACATTACTCTTTAAATAATGAAAGTAGAACGATCATATTGTAATAGGAATCAACATTATAGGTGGTAAAGACAGATTGCATTGTACCCAAAAAGATTAGAGTAACCTAAGTTTGTTGTAGTAGCCTCAATTCAGTGTCAATTATTTTTGGGTTGATGGTTCTTCCATGGTCTCAAAATTGGGTCTTAGATGGCTCGTAGGTCAAGTCTCTTGTTCCTTTGAATTTTGTAGATTTATTAGTCTGTTTTAATTCATGCAAGGTCAAGGTAAATTTATGTGATTGAGATCTAGTTATAATTAATTAATTTTGGGTTGGATGCTCTTACTACTTGTCCGAAAAATGGCTTGTTTAATATCTTTTCATATTTACCAATAAAACATGCGTGGAGAGCCAACTGCAGAGTTTTCCCTTTCCCAAAAGATCTATAGAAGCTATTAGTGAAATTGAGAGTAGTGATCTATAGGTCTGAATGAGCATTCCCATTGTGTTCAAGAAGATCAATTTGTTTCTTACTCAGTTACGTTGCAGTATATGCACTATATTATTAGTTAACTAGTGAATATTGTGGAAATATTTCTCTTTCTCAGTATACCGAAAACCATTGTTTTTACGAAAAAATAATGAAACAATCTTGTGAATACAAGATAAATTTGCATATATCTAATTCTCTTTAAGCTTCGTAGTGATAGAAAGTTGGCTCACTAAATGTTTTTTTTATTTTACAAATTATGAAATCAACACAAGGGTAAATAGAAAGATATTAATATGAGTTGTAGAAGACACCACAAATAAAAAAATAATGGAGAAAATAAAAAATGCTAACTTTATTAATGTTGGTTTCCACGAGGATTTCTTGTGAGGATGGTTACAAGGAAATGGTGAAGATGATTACACACAGGATTAATGCTGATTCTCTGTCATCACAAGAACAACTGTTCTCTCCTCTTTACCTAGAATGATATGTTAGATACTTTTGTTCCCACTATCTCTCTCTGAATCTTTTCCTTCCATTTCCCAAAAGCTTTTTTCCCCTTCATGTGGCTCCAACTCCAAGGAAGTCTATAAATGGTGGAGATATTGTGGTCTCAAAATAACTGGTTACTGTGTTCTCTGCACCTGAAGGTGGTGATGATGATGGTTCAGTGACTGAGACTTGAGATGTTGATGCCATGGAGTCTGAGAAATAAGAAAGATGATGATTATAAGGATAGATATCAGTGAAGATAGAATCATCTCTAGCCACATCCCAAGCTGTGTTATCCCTCCTGAAGCCTGCCAAAAAATGCAGCATTTAGTCATTTACATGTTTTGAGCAAAACATGGTGGAAAGTACAGAAAGATTTATTGGGATTTTTTGAAGTGATAAGCCATTAAGAGAGAGAGAGACCCAATTAGTGCAAAAAATTAACTGCCTAGAAAAGCAAAATGTGGGAAATTGAGGGATCAAAAAGACAAACCAGAGAAGAAATCAAAGGGTGTCTGATCTGCACAAGCTGAAGTATGAGGATGGTATATTTTGTTGCCTGAAGAACCAAGCAAAACCTCTCTACCACTAGAAGTTAGTACTTGTTCACCATTGACAAAGTTGTGGACACCATAGATATTGTTAGAATTGCTATCTGCAAATGGGAAGTTAGAGGAGTTGATGAAGCTACCATTGCAAAGATGTGGATTGTTTGTGGCTGTTCCAAACGTTGGCTCTCTGTAGAAAAAGCTTGAACCTTCCTCAAGCCTTCCATGATCAGTATGACTCATCTTTCTCCTCCGATAAGCATTGGACTGCTCTCTGTATTTCCTGGCCATTATGACATGCCAGTGGTTTTTCACTGCATTATCAGTCCTCCCTGGGAATAGCCTTGCAATCATGGCCCATTTGTTACCATAAACTCTATGAGCTGCCATTAGCCTTTCTTCTTCCTCTTCACTGAAAGCCTTTCTGTTGATCCTTGGGTCCAACTGGTTAAACCATCTTAGTCTACAACTCTTACCTTCAAATCCATAAAAAAGATTAATGAAATGAAAATCTATGCAAATTACTACCACTTGAACCATCATTTAGCCAGAGAAACAACTTAAACCATCCAAGAGAAAACAAACAAGTTAATGCATGCACATTCATAACTTGTGTGTGTGTGTGTGTGTGTGTGTGTAAAAATCTGTATATAAACACACATACCCATGTAACCTATTTGTTACCTGATCTTCCTTCCAATTTCTCTGCTATAAGATTCCAGTTCTGAGGGCCATAAAGGGCAACAAGTTCCCTAAGCTTAGAGTCCTCTGCAGGTCTCCAGTGCCCTCTAGAACAAAGCTTTGCCTGCCCATGACCATCCATTTCCTTCTCAATCAGTGAATTCTCATGTGGGTTCTCTTCATTTAAGTTGATGAAGTCATTGTTGTTGGTATTGCTTTGTTCCACCACAGCATTGTTTTCTTCCAAAACATCACTATAATCAGAGCCCTTACCATTATTATTATCACATCCCTCACTGTTACTAGAGTTTTCTATAAATGGAAAATGCACATCAGTACCCTCATCAGCCCTCTCATAGCACTGAAGGACCTCATTTGAAGCTACATGACGTGGTTTCACTGAGAGAGAAGCCATGTCTGTGCGGACTCCCATTGATGAAGTAGGGGAATTATAGGAGTTGCACTGGTTGTGGTTGGCCATGCCATGATTTTCTTGGTGCCAGAGAGTGGTGATGTACTGTTGCATGGTCATGTTCATTGCCAAAAAAAGGAAAAAAGAGAGAGCAAGAAAAACGAGAAGAGAGAGATTGAAGAGAAAGGAAAATAGATGCAGAGAGGGAGAGAGAGGAACTGTGTGTGTGAGTTGGAACTGTTGGCAAAAAGTGTTTTCTTCTTCAACAGAAACCCACACGATTATTCATCCTCTAGTGTGAGGTGAAGTCCTGACTGACCATGACCTTTAATTTGACTTATTCTGGGGTATTGAAGGTCCACGCCAGATCCAAGTGCGTGGCCGCACGCCTCAATCACAATGGTTTGAGGGTGTTTGGGGCTGTCGGTTAAAACGGGTTTATATCGGGTCTTAATAAATTTGTGTCAAATTTTTTTTGTACTTATATTCTGTGTGTTTATTATTTTATATCTATTAAGTCGTATCATATCAAATTTGTATTGTATATAATCGATAAATAAATGAATTGTGTCGTATATTTTTTTTGATTCGTTTTATGCATATCCAACTCGTTTATTAATCTTGTCGTGTTTGGTCTATTTGTTTACGAAACGAGTAATTTAAGGAAGACTCAAACCTTTTAATTTTTTATCATATTCGTATCAAAATCGGTTGTTCACATTCATCACCAACTTAGCCCATTTAATATTCTTGTTAACGGATTATATATTTTTTAACTTCATATAAAAAAACTAATTATCAACGCAAATCTTATTAATTTTTTTATCGAATTTGTATTATGTCAAAAATTATAGTAGAGTCACAACAGGATTTCTTGTAGAAATATTCAATTTCATCATTTGCACGTGTGGTGTTACATATAATGTGACAAGAGAGCAGCTCCCCTATTCATGTACATTGTCTGTCCACGTATGTCTCGCACCGTCCTCTCTGTCGCTCTCTCTTTCTAGGCTGGTTGGCCCTCTAGAGGCCACTGCACAATTCAATTACATAGAGGACACGAAAACACCTCTGTCACTCATTTTAAATAAAAACATAACTCTCGCAATTTATTGCAGTCCTTTTGTAGTAGGGATTTGACTAGGTTGAAGAAATAATTGGGTACCGTATTTTTAATTTTTATTATTTTAATAAGTATTTTCATAATTTTTGTAAATTATTTTATAATTAAAAATTTTATCACTTTTATGAGTGATTTATTATTTTGTGGGTGTTTTTATCACTGTTATAAGTATTTTTGATACAAAAAAATTTATCATATTTATGGGTGTTTTTATTATATTTATGAGTATTTTTATCATATTTATATATATTTTTATCACTATTGTAGTAACTATTTTTATATTTTTTTAAGGTATCACAATAGTGATAAAAAGATCTATAAATATAGTAAAAATAATTATAAATATAATGAATGGAAATATGATATCCATTTTTTTTTTTGGGTACTGCAGTCAAATCCTTGTTATAGCTGAAGTCCTGATTTTTTTAACTGGGTGAATCTTTGAAAAAAAAATATGATAGAGACGAACCCACCTTAACCTATGGTTGGATTTTGATTTGAATTTAAATTTGAGACAAAACCAACACGACATTGCGAATAGAAATTGTATCTTAATGAGTTCAAATCATAGGCGAGTTGATCCTTGAGATAATTCAATAAACACCTGCAAATGGTTTATAGTAATGCATAAAGGGTTTGCATTGTGTACAATGGTAAGAGTATTTTTTAAAGGAAAATGTTTCCTTACCGCTTAGAGTAGGGCTAGTAATCGAGTCGAATTTTATGAATTCAAGCCAAATTTGTTGAACTCGTTTTTTAAATGGGTTGAGTTTGAGCAGAATCTAAATTAAAATCGAACTCAAATAGTTTGACTATTTTATAAATAAATGAGTAATTCGCCTTGATTACCGGTCTTAATATGGACCTTACAAAAATAAGTACCGATAGTAGCTTAGGAATTAGATACTTTTTGATATTTTTTTATATTTTTATTCTTGGGGAATCATCTACCGTCAATTTAAATAGGACCTAATATAGATAAAAGGATCCTCATTTATTATAATAAATGATTCATGAAGAAGAGAAAAAAAATTATTTGAGTGGGATGTGGATGTGTGGTAAGAGTACTTCGAAACTTGCATGTTTCTAGTGATCTTTACTACTGTAACCCATCAAGATATCAGATAACATGGTCATGCCAGCCTTTTTGTTTCTTTCTTTCTTCTTTGTTATCGATTTGACAGAACTAGAAACCAAGAGAAATATTGAAAATGGTAAAAATTTATGAGCTCCAGATATATATTCAGAAAACAAATCAAAATCCAATCATGCATCTCACAGCGTAAGGAATGAGGAGCTATGTGGTCCACTGTTGGTATTAGAAGTGTTTAAATTTTTGGTTGATCAGTAATTGTTTACTTTATTTGGTTCTATCATACCTTATTGAACGGTTAGTTATAAAAATCAGATAAAAATAAAGAAGAATTTTTGGTCTTCCGATTAAATCGGGTAAGAATGCAGAATATCCATCATTTTTTGCATTTCTATCCTACCCTACCCGTAAAAAATATATTTAATTTTTTTATATTTTTTTTAGTAATTATAAGAGTATTTGTGTGGTATAATTTATATTATAACATTGTTCTTGTTGTTGATATTTGAGCTGCGAAAACATGAACTTATTTTTTGTGTAGGTTACATTATTTGTGGTGAACTAGTCATCTATTGGAGCAATTATGATTTTAATATGTTTTATATAGTTTAAACTTACAATTATTGTATTTGTGCAATAGTTATGATGGATTGATGTTCATGTTTTCTTATGTTTTATTGTAATTGTTGTTGTAGTTGTTTTAGGTTTTAGTATTATTGATTTATTGTGTTGTTAAATTGATGCATGTTATTTAATTGAATTGTTAAAATGATCCAAAAAATAATAACTATAAAAGTGTTTATCCGACTTTTTACTCTATTAATCGATAGAAAGTTAAGTAGGAATATCATACCTGATCGAGTAGGGTAGTTCAAGAAAAAAAATTTCCGTAAAATATTGAATAGGAAGACGAAATACTATATTTCTACCCATAAAATCTCAAGGGGTATTTTAAGTGGTAACAGCAAAATATAAATTCATATATTTTGAGTTTAAAGTGACAATCTTTTGAGGTCAAGCTCAGCTGACTAGCCTGTGATCGAACTGGAAAGAAAATTAATCGAAATACGTGTAAATTGATTCAAACACTCTTAGCCGTTAAAAAAAATGATAAGTCCATAATGTCTTATGTTCGTAGCTTTATTAAGAGTATTAACAAAGCCCAAATGGGTAACCGAGTGATGTAGGGTAAGGATTGATCTAGAATGAATCATTAACTTGGACGTATGAGATTGGATTCTTTCTAATCAATTGATTACGAGTATATGAGATTTAATCTCTAAAAATGAATTTAATGTGAATTTTTGTTGACTCGTTATTACAAATAAACTAGTAAACAAAACAGGAAATCCTTTAATCAGTGAAGAGGTTGGCTTATCTCATCTACGGATTGTCTTACTGATCTCCAGTTTCTCTTGTTCTAAACCTTTTCACCACACGTAAAACCAAAGGCATGTTTTGCATTTGTTCACTTCAAGTTCATTCCCCCAGTGAGACTTCATGTCAACACTTCTGTCCTACCACAAGTGTACTGTACCCCTCACGGACTCGCAGCAAAACTCAAAGGCTATACATCTTTTTTTTTTCTTCTCTCACTTCTCTTTTTTAAGTATAAAGCTACGGTATCTAGCCGAAACTAAATTTGAGAGGTTAATTTTAGTTTAAATGATTTATAACTGTTGATTAAAAAAAAATTGATAAAAGTTCAGACGTTTCTGTTGAAAAGAAGTAAAAGTAAAGTACAAAAAATGATATTTTGGTTTTTCACCGCAAAAGATGTCTTGATTCTCGGTTGTACCATGAAAGATTATTTTAGCCGAAACTAAATTTGGAATGTTATAAATTTGGTTTTAATGTGGTTCTTGGACTAACATCCGTTTCAAATTCCATTAAAATCAATTTTTATCGAAATATGAATTGAACGTTAGGTTGTGGGTCATATTGAAATCAACTTATGACATTCAAGGTGTAAAATAAAAAAAAATTATATTTCAAAGGGTAAAGTAAGAATCGAGATATCTTTCAAAATGTAAAGCATGAAAATCCCATTTTGTTACCATAACACGTTGCATGTTAGTTCTATTTTTTTTTTCAACAGTTAAGGGTATTCGAATTAATTTACACGTATTTTGATTAATATTTTTTTTTAGTTGAATAAAAAAAAGTCATCACACCAATGTTGGGGTATTGATAAGTAATTTAATAAATTTTTTACGATTTAACTTTAAAAAATTATTAATATTTAAATTTAAACCGTCTGTATTTACGGTTCGTGTAAGTTGTATTTCAATTAAACCATCTCTCTCTCTCTCTCTCTCTCCTGGTAATACATATCGGACAAACCAAATTTACTCTGGGACAGTTAGACCTGACCTAAGTTTCCTAACACTCGTCTCACAGCAAGTGGGTCCCATTAGTAGCAGGAGGTTGCTTTGCTTGCACGAACCCTCCATAGAATGAGAATAAGAGCTCTGTGGGGGCACATTGACCCCTTTGAATACGTACGGATCGAGACAGTATTAATAGTGTCTGTTTTTCTACCCCCCAACCCACCCACGAAAAAAAAAAGATCTTTTGGCATTTTAACAAACTCACTCCAACAGTCAATTCTGTCAACATTTCTCACTTGAGACCACAAAAGCTTTTATTTCTATTTTCTAGATGATGGTATTAGGCTTGTTGCAGATCTACCCACGTGACCCAGTGAAAGCCCATTCCCATTAATTTTTACATTAATTTCTGGGACGTCACTATGATTCTAAAATTTATTATATTTATGAGTATATTTTTTATTATATTTATAAATATTTTTATTATTATTACAGTATCTAAAAAAATAATAAAAAATAGTTATCATAACAGTAAAAAAATATTCACAATAATGATAAAAATATCCATAAAAATAATAGTAATACCTACAAATATAATAATTTTTTTTATCAAAAAAAAAATGATAAAAATACTCACTTTTTGTCCAATAAAAAAGTGAAACGTGTAATTTATTATTTAATTATTTTATAATCAATGACGATATATGTATCAAATTAAAATCTACCAATAATTATTATTTTTGATAGGCCCGTACCATAGACTTGTGTTTCTGGAAAAACACAAAAAAAATTCCAATTTCTTACTGGCAAGTCCAAAGGGTCTTCCTCAACCCATGAAGTTGGTAAAAGGGTAAGGAGTGGAAAATAGTGTAGGAGTAATTTTGTGATCCATTTTAAGTTTATGCTATGATGGTAAAGTTTACCGTTTGGTCAAACACTTAAATATGTCACAGCACTACCAAAAGAAAGGCAAACC